GTTTTATAAGTAATGAACCTAAATACTACTTTTGACCTTAAAATGTCAACCAATTTCTTCGATTTAAATTGATACAAATTTGATTTTAAATTAGATAGTATTTAGATGCTGCCCAATAAACCCCTCTTCAATAATATTTTTTTCAATTTGCATGCACAAAAATTTAAATTCTCCTCCTTTGTAGCTCTCTCTTTTAAAGAGAGATAATATATGTTGCCACGCTTAAATACTGACAGCAGCAAAGAACCATTACTTCCAAAACGTATACTTATCTAGAATTATAGATACATTAATTTTGTTTACAGAAAAATTAATATCCTACTTATCAAATAGTTATAAGGGAAATGTAAAATATTTATATGATACACAAGCATGACAAAAAAAACATTAAATTCACAGACGAAAGTTTCGATTTTCTTTAATACTTCGACTATTTATTAGGACTCTTTTCGAAAAAAACATGAGTTCGGTAGTATGAATGTAAGTGTTTCTATGCTGTGATGATTTTAATAGATTGATTTATATCTTACGATTTGCTTGTAAGATTTAACCTGGATTTAACTTACTAATATTTTCCGTTTCGTTTCAAAATCGAAATTTTAATAAGAACAAAATAATAAATCGCATACATGCGAGGATAAATCATATATTACAAAATAATCAATTAAGGAATTTTATAAAATGAAAAATTCATGTTGACATCAGAATACTTTATCTAGATTTTTGATCATGATGTGATTTTATTTCACATTATGATATTCACATCGTAACTGGATTTATATGCCTCACATGACTTTGGTTCTGGACTTAAAACTTTCTGTGCAAGATTTTTGTATCTGGATTTATAATCTCTTGACTTATAACCCAGTAAAGTGCGAACCACCTAATGTTTGTACATTATTATTAAAAAAATGTAATTTTGTAATAAATTAAAATTGTTTTTAGTTCATGATATTTGGATTTTTATTTGACACATTTTACTGTCAATCAAAACATAAATTTCATTATTGGATAACGATGTCTAACTTCTTTAGCGAGGGGTGAAGGTGCCAAATAGAACGTAACAAATGCTTGATACTCTGCTTCATTATAAGTATTGAATTTCTAAAAGATAAGACTCACCAGAAACAGGAATTTTGATTCTTTGACAAATGGTGTCGAAAGTTCTGGAATCCAGTATAAGTCATTAGTGAATGACTTTCAAAACTAATAAAATTCATTTTTGTTATTGAAGAACGAGGGAGTCAAGTAAATACGAGGGAAAAGTCAGTAAAAAAATATATTATCCTTTACAGGCAAAAATACTGATTATGAGTAAGAAGGAGATTCTATGTGAATGAATGAGAATTTTCCAGTAAAAGAAGAATTTTCTCATAACCATAATGTGAAATTTTGTCCTCACTTCCCCTTCGAAAACTCACATCTAGCAAGGATTCTCAAACATTATGCTGAGTGTGCGCAAAAGAAAGAACTTCCAGAATCAGCTTCTTGGCATGCATAGGAAGTGGTGTACGGCAAAGGAGAAATAAATGAAAATAAATTCAAGAGCATTAAATCACAACATCATCACAGAATAGCACAAAACGAAACAGAATAAAATTCATGAGCACCGTGACTTATTAACTTATTAAATAAAATAATATTGTTAAACATAAATTTACCCAGCAATCTCCTATAATCTATACGTATAGTAATAAAGTGTTATAGCAAACAATTGAATAATGATTTATTTAAGATTAACTTAAGAGGATTAGTTTTGAGCTACACATGGATTAAAAATTTATTTAACAACGTATTTAATGTTGTTGGTTTTCGTGATACTAATTTTTTCAGGAGAGTTTATTCCAATTTTTCGATTCCTAACATATACATCCGATCGGATCAGGTCAGGTCTCTGATTTGATATTTTTTTGGTATTTACTTAGAGAATTATTCATAATTTTTAAGCAGAATTCCACACAGACACATGTCGATTATCTATTATTTTGATAGCTCTATAATCTCATAGAGCATATTATAAGGATTTATTTAACAAAAACAGTATCGATATCATGCAATGATGATGAAGACTTGACATCCTCCTATTTTCCTGTCAATCGTAGTACATGCAAGGAACTCATCAATTGTGTACAGTTTAATTTTTGACTTGGACTGACATAGAGAATGCTACAGAAAACTTTTCTTTTTTGGTAATCAAAGACATGGAGAAAGCAAGTGCGCATAAAACATAGTTTCTTTTTAGCTTTGTAAGATAATAAATCATAGTGATCAAGGAAAAATAAAAGAAAAGAAAATCAGTCGATATACTCGTAGAGAAACGTAAAGTTGTTTTCAATTCATTCAAATAAAAATTGGATAATTAAACATGTTTCCAATTTTTATTTGAATGAATTGAAAACAACTTTACGTTTCTCTACGAGTATATCGACTGATTTTCTTTTCTTTTATTTTTCCTTGATCACTATGATCTTTTATTTTGCAAGCTTCATAAAATTATGAAAAATCCAAAGAATGGTGAGTTGTAAATTGGACGTGAATTAGAAACGCGTTACACCATAAAATTTTTCTCATAGCCCAAGGACAACAAATGAAAACTTTTGACACTATGAATTTCACGTTGGAACTTGCACTCATATAATACAGTTGTAAATTTAAACCACATTTACACATGTTTATATGTACATATTAAATATTATCTTTGCTCCTGTAGATTTGCGTCAATTGATGTTTATTATAAGTAAAATATGCAAAGTCAATTTAAAGTCTCGTAAAGCTTTAAAGCATAGTCTCTGTTATAAACCAAAATTAGAAATACAACACATCCCATAAAGTTTAAGATTTTCCAAAAAACTGTAGTGCCTTTAGTAACCAAGCTTTTTTGAAAGTTCTTTCATTAGATTTGTTGTATCTGATAATAAAATAATTATGGAAATTTACTGGACTTTATGTCCTTATCAAAACTTCCAAATTACTAAATTACTAATTTTTTCAACTTATTTTTAAGCCACTTTTTAATATATACTAAGATATAAGATTTGGATGTAATAATGGGCAATTTTTTCTCCCATTTTAAGATGGGGGGTAAAATCCCCGAAAGATATTAATCCCACGATCCTGCGGGATAATAACGCACCTATAATTACAAGTGGGATTATTATCTCCCAGGTAGATAATAATTTCACTTGCATTACTAAGTGGGATTATTATCTTTATGGAACACGATTAAAATCATAGATTAAATTAAATCCAAAAAATTATTTGTCATAGCGGATAATAATTCCACTTGTATTAATAAGTGGATTTATTATCTAATAAGATTTTCATCCAAAAAAAATCCAACTTATTAATTTGTCAATTTCATTATTCCAAAAACTTAAATATGAAGAAAACATAAATATTGGTTGAATGTTTGCTTTTTAAAAATATATTATTCCGAATTGTTTAAAAAATAAAATCAAGGTGGGTTCAAGTGAGTTCAACTGATCTAAAGATGTTAGCTATTCCATATAAAATTATGTTCGAGATTCGCTCGAATGTTTAAAGAAAATGTAGCTGTAATTCCATTTTGTTTCGCTAAATTGGTTGTAGCATTGATGGGATATCCTGGGGTGATCTATCCTGCATCACATGAATTCGAATTTTGTCAATGAAATTTTGAAAGACTTCATTTCAAAACTATTTGCAAAAACAAAAAATTTAAAATTTTGTGTGAATATGATTTCTTGAGTGAATAGATCTTTGATACATTAAACATCTAGGCTCTAGGATTTTTAAAAATTTACAAAAGGCATAAAAAACCAAGTTTTCAACTTAAACATTCAACCAATATTTATGTTTTCTTCATATTTAAGTTTTTGGAATAATGAAATTGACAAATTAATAAGTTGGATTTTTTTTGGATGAAAATCTTATTAGATAATAAATCCACTTATAAATACAAGTGGAATTATTATCCACTATGACAAATAAGTTTTTGGATTTAATTTAATCCATAATTTTAATCGTGTTCCATAAAGATAATAATCCCACTTAGAAATGTAAGTGAAATTATTATCTACCTGGGAGATAATAATCCCACTTAGAAATGTAAGTGAAATTATTATCTACCTGGGAGATAATAATCCCACTTGTAATTATAGGTGGGATTATTATCTTTCGGGAAGGATAATAATTCCACGTGTATTTCTAAGTGGGAATATTATCTCGCAGGGAACATTTAAAAATTTGCGATTTTCGGGGTTATTATCTCGCAGGATCGTGGAATTAATATCTTTCGGGGATTTTATCCCCATCCCATTTTAATATAAATTAGCTCGGAGTAACAATCAGCAATGGTCTGTGCCTCTATACAGGCTGTCGTGTTATCTTTCTCATACCAGTCCAATTTCCAGTCCAATTTCATTTTCTCCACACAATAATTGATGATATTTTTTCAATGAGCGAAATAGACGAATATAGACATTATCAGTGCCAAAATCATTTTGTAATCCGTTTGAATATATTCAATGTTCTGTTGATCTCCTTACATTCAAAATTGTCATCTTCAAAGCTATTCATTATATCTTCGGGACATGTAATTAATCTCTTGCCAAGTGTGACTGTGAATAAATTTTCTTTTTCATTTATTAGATTCACTATCTCCTCAGTTTGTATGGAATCTAATTCATCAATTGTTGCTTTACTTGTGGCTTCTACATTTTTGATTGATCTTTTGAATCGGAAACCCTCCAAAACTTTTCGATATCATCTTGTGACAAAATGTACCATATTGTTGCTGCTAATAGTATAGATAGTATAAGAATTAATATGCACGCTATTACTGATACTCTCATCTTTTGTCTTTAGCTGCTTTTGAATAATTTTTATTTTTTCAATAAAAACTTGATTATAATTAATTTATAACAAGACAAAAAATGCTAAATATTCATAAGCTTATGGCTAAGAATAATAACAGAAAAATATTTTTAAAAACTAATTGCATAAATTTAAGTATAGCTAATTTAAGTCAACAAAAAAATTTTGGGCTTTTTAGTTTCAAAGTTATGAATACGCTTAACATTTTTTAACAGTGTTACATCTAATGATCTTTTCCGGACATTTTGGAGTGTTCTAAAATTTCTGAGCCAGTGATGATTTTCTATTTCGTGAATGTCTAGCCTGATAAGTGGATTTACGTTAATCATGCAGCATATCAAATGTTTGCACTCGTACGAGATCTATTGAGGAAGCAAATAGTGATATTAAAAGTACGTTCAAAACTTTACATTACGACCCGTAAGATATATACTTACGCGATTCCAAATTGAATCACATCGGAATCGAACAATTCCAGTCTTAATTTGTTGGTCAATAGTTCCACAGTCGACAAAAGATTCATAAAATGGAAATTTGCCGCTAACCATACAGAAGAGAACGACTCCAAAGCTCCAAATATCACATTTTGTTCCTTTGTAGATTTTATTCTTATAGAACATTTCTGGAGGTGAATAATGAATAGTTCCGCAAGTTTGAGTTAAATCTTTGTCGTAAGCAGCTAAGCCGAAATCTCCAATTTTACAGATGACTTTGTCGTTTTCTTTGTGGACAAAAATGTTATCACACTTGATATCTCGATGACAAATATTCAATTGATGTAGATACTTTAATCCTTGAGTAACTTGATAAAAGCAATCTCGAGCTTCATTTTCATCTAATCGAATATTTATCTTTGAGTTGATTAATTTTAATAAGTCTTGATAATTGAGATATTCAGTGAATAAAAAAGTCTGATCGATAATGTCGTAAACGTGAATAAGCCTAACTACATTCGGATGATTTAAGCCATTCATGATTTTTGCCTCAAATACATAGTCAAATGGAGGATCTTCCTTAAATTTCTTTACTCTTTTTATTACGAGTCTTTTGAGTGTTCTGACGTTATGGACAAGAAATGCACATCCATTTGGACCATCACCGAGGAGCTTTTCAACAAAATAGTCTTTCATCAGGTTTGAGGGAAATTTCGTCTTGATTAATGTCCTTAAATCATGGAATTCAAAGAATTTTTTTTGATTCTTAACAAGTGAGATCTTGTCTTTATGCTGCAATATTATACGTTGTCCTTTCCGCAGCAATTTTTTATTGACCATAAAGAAGTTATCATAGAAACTGCGAAACACAAAAGGTTTAATAACTTCTTTTTCGTCGTCTTGTTTTTCTAATCTACAAACAATTTCATTCTCTTCATTTCCACCAACTTCTATTGGAATAATTGTGAGCGATTCATCGCTTTTCAAGTCATTTTGGTTCCTCTGCATTATAAAATCTACATCACTATTAAATATTTCTGCAAATTATAATTTTTTAACATTGTTTTTAATACTGCTGAAATACAATTATTTTACCGTAATTTAACTCTTTTGAGTGACTTATGATCTTCGCAACAGCCTTAACTACTGGATTTGGGCCCATTTTGACATTATATCTTTAAAAACTCCTGGTTTTTTAATTAAATTAGTTTATGATTTTGCAAACAAAATATTATGAGCTTTTAAGAATAAAATTAAAACAAGTCCAACAAATATCGGCAAGTTGTGTGGTTTTTATACTAATTTAAGCTTGTTAATCTAAGATATTACATAGCTTTTTATGGGCTCAATTCATTTTTACTTGGAAAAGCTCTTTATTTTAACCTCAAACTTTTGAAGATATTTATTAAGCTAAATTTAAGGTATTTAATTGAAAATATAAGTAAAACCATGGAAGTCGATGATGCAGAGACTGGATTTGCCTTAATAAGACAAGGATATTGCCAAAACAATCTGATCTTTAAGCTTAATCAACGAAATATAATTGGTATGAAATTTTTCTCACAAATATAAACATCCAGTGAACTGCATCTTTTACAATAAATTTAATTATCCCTAGGACGTGGATTTGGCACAACAATAAATATATTAAGTTTATTTGTGAGCCGTCAGCATTGTGTGATGTATATGGAAGATGACGGAAATTGGTATATACGAGATTGTGAAACCATGAATGGAACATTTATCAATGACGAAAAAATACAGCCAAACATTGACTACCTCTTAAATCTCAATGACAAAATTGGCTTTGGAATAAGCATAAGCTCATTGAACAACAGTGAATATTCAAATCCAGACTATTACGTCTATAAATTGATATATTATCCAACACAACAAGATCATATCTACGAATATGATGTTAATAGCTTGTGCTGGGATTTAGAAAAGTTGTGAATAGATTCACATTGTTTTTCATGCTTAAATCTGTAAGGAAAATAATAAATTATAGAGAAGAATGAATGTAAGAACATACAATTTTATGATGAATAAATTCCTTTTTATTTAATATTCAACAGCAATTCATATCTGCTAGTACTGTAAATGGTGTGCTATAAATATCATGTATGACATTATGTTTTTTTACTTGATTTCATTTAAATATCCATTTCTTTCTTTTTACTAATTAATAATATATTTTATATCAAATATGATGATAAATTTAATATCGGAAGATTATATGTAGACATAACTTTGTTAAATAAGTGTATCAAAACTTCATTTAAAGTAGAGTTGCACGAGCTATTTTCTTATTCTCTTCATATGCTGTTCAATTGTCGTTTTTTGATGGGAAAGAAGCATGAACTCGACTAGATTTACTCTCTTTCTCTCTTCTATATATGTCCATTTCAAATGGAGTTCGAAACACTTATCGCATCTCCCCATTTTTTACACGCTTTTTTATATGGCATTATATTTCTACTTCCTACGCACATTGTTTAATTGTTCTGATTAAAAACAAATAAAGTAAACGGCGCAATTATGTTGGGATTCTAGTTTTCTAAAATAATTATTTTTTTTAAGTGAAATCAACTTTGAGAGCACTTTCTAAATAGAAAGTTGTTGAAAATATAAGCAAATTAGTCATTCGAGAGTCTCAATTTAAAGTGTTGTGTGAATTTTGCATAAAATAAAGTACATGCGAATGATCTGTAAACTTGGATATCATAAGACTAAGTTTCATTAGATTTATTCCGTTGTTAGACAAGATTCATATTGCTCTATGTAGGTTTAGGGTTTAACTTTTATTATTCATTTAATTGGGGTGGGGGGGTTGGTTTATCGTCACAATTTCATGCTCGGGTCGATTGGTGCATCCTAGAACACAAACTAGTATTAGATATATAAATTTATTAGCATAAATCAAAGTTAAAATATACACTTTAAATATGTGTTTAGAAAAAGTTGCAATAGTTTTATAATTTTTCAAAAAAAAAAGGAAAAACGAATAAATTACGAGTGATTTCTTCGTTAAGCTTAAGCTAGCTAAGACTCAATAGAAAGATTTTCAGTAATTCTCATGTTTTTGATGAGGGCATATTGTGTAGTTCTACATCTTTCTTCTCTTCTTCTTGCTTATTATTACTATTATCACTTGTGCTCATGAATGACCCTTCCATGAAGTCATTAGCAAATGGCTTCGCAGGATCTGCAATTTTCAGCTCTAAATATTCTCTCTTTAATTGTTCATTCTTTCTACGAATCGGTAAATTGTCGTTGTTCACCGCATTTCCGAAAACATTGTCATTATCATCAACATTTTTTTGATCAGTTCCACGATTAATTGATGCTAATCGCTGTCGTTCACGCTCGAAGAAACTATTCAAAATTGAGCTATTGCGATCAAAGACAACTGCATCGTCTTCAACGGGTTCAATCGAAATTTCAGCATAGCTCATTGGAGAAGTGTCTTCGTCATCATCATCATGTCCAGTAGATGCACCTTTACTCGCTCCACTATTTCCACCTTGATTCTTACTATCATCATCTGATGGTGAATTATTTTCTTGATTATTATATAAGCTCAAGGTTGGCCATTTTGTATTTAATCGTAGATAGTTCTCAATTGAAAGGAACTTCTTATGTGATTTCTCTATGTTATGAAATCGATAGCGTAGTTTCCTAAATAATATGTATTCAACAATTACTTCTTCAATGAAGATTCCAATAATAAAGTTAATAGCTCCAATTGATACCAAAATTATTCCAAAACTCAAAAGAACGTCTTTAGGAGGTGCTACCATTTGCATAAAACTAATTGTCCAATTTGCAGGATATAATCCTAAATAGCATGTGATTAATAAGTTGATTACGAGAGCTATCAAAAATCCACGATTTGAGAATATTGTCTTGCGATATGGTGCGCCTTTACTAAAGACAATAGCTAATGTTATGTACTGGAAACATGATATAACAAAGATTGTGTAATTCTGATGACATCCCAATGATTCAACATTAATTGATCCTGTCTCCTCATACTCAAATGGCACAAACCAATCGTATGTTTGGACATGAAGCCATCCGAAAATTTGAATACCAATTGATGCAATAAGATGAAGCATTAATGACACAACGGGACTTAAAGCTACTAATGAATTTAATGGGGTTTGTTTCACTAAAGGTCCTTCAAACGATTCCGTTTTTCCAAAGAAAAATGCAAACACTGATATCATACATAAATCTATGTACAGAAATTGCATATCCGTTAAATTTGAATCAATTCCATAGAGAATAATGACTGATGTAAATTGAACCAATGAGTAAGCAGCCATATATTTGAAAATTCCAAATGAAGTCACCAGAGCCGTTCGTCCTTCACGGATAATTGCCGGGACACAATTAATAGTACGATCTCTTGAGGTAAATGGTGATGCAACAGAACTTTCAGCATCAGATAAAGAAATTCCAGCGTGAGCTACTTTTAAAGCACCGCAATCGTTAGCTCCGTCACCGCACATGGCTACATAATATCCGAGGTCTTGTAGTTCTGTGACTAATTGCATTTTTTGATCGGGACTCATTCGAGCAAAAATCGTTCCACGTGTCACAAACTTGGGTAATAAATCTGGATAATATTCACGAACGATTGCCCATGTTTTACCGTCCATAGCAAAACGATATCGATTTGATGGCAATTCCGGTGCTAAACGATAATCATTATCATTATTGTCATTTGAAAAGAAATTCCTTTTCTTCGTATTGAATGTTAATGGTCCGCCTTTCTCAGCATCACGTTGAAGATTATTTGAAAATGTATTTGTTTCGACCGTTGCCAAACTGCTCGCACTATTACTATTTGTCATAATCTTATACTTTCCATCGCCTGAACCCGCATCAACAAAATCAATTGATGCCGGCGTTTTCACCATGTTCATATTATTTGTTGCTGTTGCCGATGTGGAATGTCCTTCAAGTGTATAAAAGAGTTCTGCTTCATCGTCAGTTATCCATCGAGAATTTACGATTATGATGCTTTGATCTTCGAGTATCATGTCACAATCCTTCGCCACACTCACAGCTGTCAAAATATTGTCGCCTGTAATCATTACTGTTCGAATGCAAGCGTCATTTAAGATTTTAATAACTTTCTCTGAATCTGGTTTTAATCGATTCTCCAAAATGACAAAACCCAAAAATTCCAAATCAGCTTCAACTTTGTCTCGTGAAATTCGCTGAATTTTTGGATAGGTCAACTTCTTCTCCAGCGGTTTGTATGCCATAGCAATTATACGATATCCTTGTTGAGCATAATAATTTAATTTCTCGTTGAAATCTGACGGGAGTGTATCTTGACGACATAATGTCGCTATCATTTCCGGTGATCCTTTACAATAAACATTAAAATGTCTATCAGTGAGCTTACGTGTAATTACAGCCATTCGCTGCAAACTACTCGTGAATGAAAACTCACGAACAATACCAATGTCATGCGAGTTAATGTCCAAATTATCAAGCTGTGTTTCAGACGGCGGACTTTGCATTAGTAAATGTGGCTGTGAGCCCTTTGAATTATTAGTCGGTGGCTTAACAACAGTTGGAAATAATAAATCATACTTTGTATCGTCAGAAACATTCGCTTCCTCTAATTTCCAGCCAGTTGATTCAAACATTTTTAAATCCAATGGATCTCCTTTCATTTCCCCATTCATTAAAGTTATCGAATGGCATGTAACCATACCATAAAGTAAATGATCAAATGGTAATCTGTCAATTTGTTTCAGTGGGATTTGTAAGGAATTTGTTGCTGTTTTAGGCACAACACCGTACATATCCAATCCATCTTCTGTTAATGTCCCTGTCTTGTCAAAACAAACGCAATCTATTGAGCCTGATACGTTTATAGATCGCGGGGCAATGCAAAATATATTTTTCTTCTCTAAGCGCTTTTGTGCGTACATTCGTCCAACAGACATTGCAGCTAAAAGAGATTTACAAATAAATTAATCTCAGAATATAATTATATTGCATCTAAGTCATTAAATCTCTACTATATATCTTTTAAATGCGTGATGAATTTTTGCATGACCGTTTTTTCTCCCCCAAGATTCTGATAAAATTTTTAGGAAATTTCGGCTAAAACTCAATGACTTTCTTTCTACCGAGTTGGTTTTTTGCATTTGTGAAGTATGTAATTTCATACAAAAATTAGAACTTTATGATTTTTACAATTATCGATTCCAACTTTGTTTTTTTTTTTCTCATCAGGAACGATTTTAAAGCTATTACAAGTATAATTACGGATATAAAAGATTGTAAGCATAGAAATAATTTGTAAGGTTCTAACTGAAATATTTTTTTACCAATTTTTTTTCTTCTTCGTTTTGAATATCTGTCTGTGAATAGACTTTTAATGCAAATTGCACGAAAATTACATTGAATTACAGAGTTTTGATTGTAGCCATATTCATAATAAAATAGATGAAATTGTACGGTTTTGAAAGTTAAAACTATACTTTTTTTAGAATTGAAAAACGTTTGTCTCATTTTTGATTTATTTTTATGGAGAGTTTTGAGAAATTAACCATTTGGGTTTTGGTTTTACACTGAACGGGGCCCGTTACGGGTCCATAACCACTAGTGTCAATATATTAGTAAATACCTGGCAATGCTGGTGGAACGGCAATAGTTATTAAATCTAAACTCTCTACAGCAATTTTCAAAGCGCCAACTCCACGGAAAACCTATGGTAAGAAAGAAGAACAAGATAAAAAGAAAATCAATCAAAATAAGAAGCCAAAAAAGCATGAATGAAAATTGCTCTCTTACCTTCGTGACGACAGTGTAAAGAAAACCGACGAAAGCAACAGAGGCGAGAAGCGCAACAAATTTATAAGAGTCTTGTTCGAACTTGTAATCAACAGGTGGTGGATATAAAATTGATCTAATGAGAGCACCTTTGGCAGTAATATTTCCCGTATTAATAACAACAGCAAGGACTTGCTCAGAACCAATATAGCGTGTTTGAATGATTTTAGTTCCACTAAATAGCGTATGTCGTGCGTGTTCCTTCATGTCATATATCAAGTCTTTTTTGCATGGCAGAGGAGTTTTTGTTACAGGAACACTTTCGCCTGTTAACATTGATTCATCCAAGATACAATTACCCGATAATAAAACAGCGTCACATTGCATTGTACAGCCAGATGATGGTATTTTAAGAATATCACCAGGAACTAAATATTTTGTATCCATAACAACTGGACTCTTGTCTTCTTTTACGACAGTTGCTGTATCAATGCTGAAGACTGTCGCATATAATGCTTTTTGATTCTTTAATGTTTGACGTATTGAGAAGAATATACCGAATGCTGTCATAAGGATGATGACGCATGCATAGTAGTAATAGTTGTACGAAAACCACAAAATGACAGAAAACACTTGAAAGACATAAAATGGATTTAATGCTTCAAGGAATAATAATTCTACCCAGCTCTTGATTGCAATATCAATTTTGTTATCTCCATAAACCAATCGTCTGAAAATAGGCAGAAAATATGTGCATAAAAAACTTGTTAAAGGTCGTAAATGGTGGGAGGAATCCAACAATTAAGAACTTATAGCTAATTGTGAACATACAAAAGCGCATATCTCACTCATTGAAAAAAAAATATTTAACGGTTCCTACAGGACAAACTGACAGAATATTTTCAAAATATCAATTAAGTCATCATACCGAATACTTCTTGTCAAGTCTGAAATTCCTTTATGCTTATGAATAGTCACACTTGGAACATTTTCGTCAAGTCCTCTCAGTTTTACAAAACTCGATGTATCAACATGCCAAATGTAACGAAGCTTTTTACAGATGAAGAACCGAACTGATTCAACCTCTGTAAAATAATTCGAAAAAAATTAGATATATGTTCATTAGAAATCACAATTTAGAGATTTAAAAAAAAATCTGCATCCTACGTTGAAATTTTCCATCTGATAAATGAATTTCCAATTGCCTATTAAAATCGTTGTCCATCGATGTATAACGTTCACTGAAACACTCATTGAGATCTGCATTTTTTATTGATTCGCTAAAGCATATAAAATGTCAAAAAAAAAATAGGAATTGAAAAAAAAAAACAGATTTCAAAATTGGAATGATAATTATAAAAACTATTTAGCGTACCGGATGTTATCTGAGGTCAATGTTACAACATTCTTAACATAATATATAGCATGTTTGCCTTGAAACTTTTCTTTCACAAGCACCTTTTCTGCTTGTTCTAGGGAGCATGGTTTGTGTGTCGCCAAAAGTAGCCAGTGACTCCACCAATGCATAACTAATCGCATAAGGCCTAATGTTAGGCCAATGCATAAGTAACATAAAAAGGAACGAAATGTTGATTTCTTATATCCATATACGAACATCTCATCTTCTTGATCCTTGTTAAGAATGCCTTTATGAAGATCCCGACATGTTGATAGGTTGGCATCTTGGTACGAAATAGAATCATAGTTATTTGGAGTTGAGCCTTATATTTGTTATCACAAATCATAACATAATTTTTTTTTGTATTTGTGTTTTGTGTATTTTTTTTTTAGATAAAAAGTTCATTTTATGTTGTTAAAGCATAATAAAGCATAAACCATATGGATAGAGGGATAGAAGGAAGCATAGCACAGTATATAGAAAAGAAAAAGAAAGCAAACAATAAAATAAATGCTACATAAAAACATGAAATAAAGCATTAATAATAATAACATAGAGCTGCAAATGGATTGTTGAATTTTACTTTTTTATATTCAACACAATCGAAGGGAAGTAAAGAATCATTAAATACAATAATCACATAGATTCATCTATTCTAATTCAAGTATAAATCAACAAAAATTATATTTGATGCAGAAATGTTTCGATTTTTTTTTAAATTTTACTTGCAAATCTAGCGAAACTAATCAACGATGCTTTATGAATGAAACTCTTTTAAACTTTACAGAATTTAAAATAGCTATAAATGCCAAACATTTCTGCATTAAAAATAGTTTAAAGTTTCTACATCTTGTCAAAAAATTAATGAAGGTAAATAAAAAACAAGCAAAGTTCAACAATGTTAAAAACATTTTAATTCATGATAATGGAACATTTTTGCAATTTTTGTGAGACACACGAAAGATTCCCGACCAACTCATTAAAAGCTCATAAATGTTGCTATCAAATGTGATTATGTGCCAGATAATAAATTTATGGTGTTAGTTGCAATTTAATTGTGCAGTTTTATGAGTTCATTATTGAAAAGTAATTTTCGTTGAGTAAATTTCGTGTGAACAGACACACATTATTGACCTTCCATTTGTGGTTGTTTATTATTTCGCATGACATGAATGATCATTATTTTTGTTTTGCTATCCAATTTCTCAAAATTTATTTTTAAAAGTTAAAGTAAGACATAAAGTCCTAGTATTGCATGTGTACAATTTGATAAAAACAATTAATCACAGACATTCCTTAAAAATGTTATCAACAAAAGAATTTTTTTTAAAAGGAGACTTGTTGCTATTCAAGCTTTTGATGTCACGGAATAATTACCTGTGATGCGATTTTTGAAGCACCTGCCAATACTGAAACGCATGGTTGCAGATCAACTTTTGTTAAGGGAAATTCAGAATCGTTTTGACTCAAATTTGTTTACCAATAAAACTCGAATTATTTACTGAACAAATTTAACTACTATATCTTTTCAATATCTTGTACTATTCACTAGGTTCTAATTTGTTGTGCTTAATTGATAATAAGTAATAGTGAACATTTTATAAATTGGGTTTTCGTTCAAAAAAAAAAAACTTGAAATATTCACAATACAAGAGTTTAAAATTCTCATTTTTGACCGGGAATAAGCAGAATTAAGTATTCGCAGTAAAATTGTGGTAAAACAAAATTCAAACACAAAATTTACATTCAGAAAGTTTTCAAGAGATAAAGTTATAAAACTTTAGAATATAAACCTGAAAACTGAATGTTTATTATAGACTTTAAAATTGTTCAAAACGATTACAGTCTTCATCGCACAATTGTTGAAGAAAGACTGAGCATAAAACGGCTGTTAAATTACTCAAATATTTTTTTTGTTTCTCTTTTGGATCGGTTTGACACTGTTGGAATTTGACGCGCAAAAAATTACCACTAAAAGGCTACACAAACTTAACAATAGCCAACAATTTTTTGTCCTAAGGTAATAATTTCGAAGTGATTAAACTCATTCGCAAAAAGATGATGGATTCAAGTTGTTAAAAGTCAATCAAGAAATATGAGAAGTTTAAGAGCGGACCATCAGTGCGCATTTTTATTAAGATGAACAGAAAAATATTAACAATTAAAACATTGTTTTTAAAATTTGAAATTTTTTGATTAGAGTCAAAAAAATTAATATTCACAGTTATTTACAGTTTTATTAAGTACTTTCAGTCGTATCTATTAAAACAAACTCATTTGTTTCATAAAACAGCTCTAAACAATATTTTTTATGAATTCCTCATGTCCATTAATGATGAATTAATATATACATGGTAATGTTGATGAGCCTTACAATTTCTTGAAACACAATTTAACTTTCAATTTTTTTAATAGCTTCAACCTCCAATTTTAAAACTTTTTATTTATCTCGATCCAAATATTGTTTCTAACTTGATAATTCTTCATTTGTTTCCAATAATTTAATGATATTACTCAATTTTTAATCAACAAAATGACAGAGAAGACCTCGTTAGAGGCACATAAATTATAAAAACACGTGTAACAAGTTGAACAACTTTTTAGCCAATCACGAAAACATTTTTAGTCAATCTCTTAAAATGAGAAGATCGCAATCGCATTTGGTTATAAGGCTTTACATTTGAAACTAAAAATGTTCTTAAAGCAGTGAGTAACACAGTTAATGAAAAGTAAAAAGGTGAAATAATTGAAAAATAATTATGGCTATTTATTGTGGGTTCATTAAATTGTTAAAAAGTTTTCGATAAAAATTATCATGAGAACTTAAGTTAAACACAATCATTTGGGAAAAATAATGTTTATGTAGGTAATTTTTCGTATGACAAATTACACTTTGTCTAAGCACTGTTGCTGTAATATTTAAAAGGTATAATAGACCACAATAAATTAATGTTTACACATTCAGCGATTATTAAAGGTGTTTAATGTCAAATATAGAATTTCAATTCTTTTTCAACTACTAAGACTCGTGAATTGCTCACAAGACGTTTTGTAGAGGTTATTTCCATTAAAATGCTAAAAAATAGTGAATTTTAAGTAGCTGACTATGAAGGTGGCAATAAGAATGCGATAAGAAATTTTTGTCGTGATAATTAATTTATATTTTCTTGCAATAAAATACTCTGGGGGAAATGCACTGCAATCATCGATACATGACACAGGAAAACAATAATTTCCAAATTTTTTTGAATTGACAAAATTTCTTTGTGACTTTTGAATCAACAAGTCATTTTGAAGAATAAATATTGACTCAAAATATTGTAATTAAAAAAATCAAGAGATTTTAAAAACTTCTCGTCATGCAAACAAAACGATTCTATTTTGATATTTGTCAATTAAGTTTAATTAAGTTTGATTAATTTAAATAGTGATTGAATCACGAAAATGAATTTTACTGAGCGTTTTTTTAAATTTTTGTTATTTATAAAATTTACTCAAGCTGGAGGTGATTGAAAAAAAGAAAGATATTGTACTTACGATTCAAAGAGCCTTTTTCATGAAGTATCTTATTCGATTTACCAAATCGTTCGAAAAATGTCAAATGAATTTTCATTTTGGAAATATATAAGAAGACTTTTTGTACTTTTTAAGTGTTCACATAATTTGCTAACATCAAGACTTATTTTTTTTTTCTTTATCAGACGTTGTTTTTTCAAAAATAATTAAATAAACCTAGAAGCACAGAGTTGTTCTTTGCATTGCCATTTAAACTATTATAAAACTACATATAAAGCACTGTGAATTGAATCTATTTAACAAAAAGGAACGGCCGATTAAAAACAGTCAACTAAACTCCGAAACAAAAGTGTTCGCTATTAAACGCCGCAAAGTACTGAATGAGCATTATCAAACACCTTACTGTATTTTGTTAAATGATTATAAGATTAATTATTAATTGCCTGTATATTGAAGATAAGAGAGCTCATTATATACGAAAAAAAACTTGACTTGTATTTCTCGAGGTATATCACTCATATCTTATCAGTTCGGCAAGAAAGTTATAAAATAAGTAAAGTGAAACATTAATGAATAAAAAATGTGCTTAGTAAGACCTTGAAAGCTGTGTATGACTAAGTCAGATAATTGCTACGTCACATATTAACAATTCGAGCAAGCGATAAGAGAAAAATATTAGAGTAAAATACTTTGTTTTATTGCATAATAAAGATAACTAATAGATTTAAAAAAATAAATATATTTTTTAAATTATATATAAAAAATCTTAAACTTTCATAAAGTTTTCAATCACAAATAGTTTTGTTTCAAATCTATACAGCTTATATTATTGTATCAATTATTTGCAACAGCACCCCAATTGTTCTTGAGTTTACACTTATTTTTCTTGAATGGAGTAAATCAAGCAAAAAATGTTTAACAAAAAAACGATTAATTTTATTTTACGCTTTTAATTGTTATTATCAGAAACGAAGATTGTTCATTGAACTCTGGCACATAAAATACTACGTATTGTTCCATTATCATATTTACAGCATTTTAAATATATTTGTCGCTCAATAGAGAAGTAAACTTACCTCCAAGCAAATTGGCAAACTGCTCATCAGGAATCCCGTCTTTTTGATGTTGCTTCTTCGGTGTTTTCTTTTGCAAGCCATCTTTATTTGAATTTTCATCTCTCCGATTCCATATAAAACAGTTCCAAGAAGATGAGTTATTCATCTCCTCCAAATAACTCTTCTGTTTGAGAACTATCACGAAATTCTTTTACCGTGCAACAATGTGCACTCTACTTTGATTCTTTTTTTTAAGTCAGCCAAATTGTGATGAATTAATCAAATTTCTGATTATTGTGACGATTGTATTTTTAATTCCTGTATCTCGTTCTAATTATCGGCAACAACTATATTATATTGAAATATTAATTTTTTTCTTCTGTTCTTAGCTCTTATTTCTCTCGCGATAAGAAATCTTATTTTCTCGTCTCTTGCTGGAGCATAAATAATTGTCGTGACAAACTGACAATTTTTGTTTTAGATTTTTGCTTCTATCGCTCCTTTTAAATATGTGACTCACTGGCTTAGCTTTCTCAAGTTTTGATTTATTCTAATGTTGCGAAATTTATCTTGACATTCACTTTACCACTTATGTAATTGATTAAATAGCATTCTTTTTTTTATATATATTATTAATTAGTAATGCACACACACACACTTTAATTCTAAAGTACTATGAATATTAATGAATCGAAAAAGTAATTTTGTATAGATTTAAGTGTTTTTGGCTTATGACTTTAAGTGACTTTCACTTAATCTTCTTTTTTCACAATTAATTCCTTTGTTTGTTTGTAGCATTAGAAGAAATATTAATCTTTGAATAGTAGTAGTGCTATCTTCCCATTGTTATTTTATAACTCAATATAAAGTGCAGCGGTGATTGATTGCGCTTGCAAAGCAAATGAAGAAGCTCGTATACTAGTCAAATAAGTAAAATAAACTTGTGACTATCGTTTCAGGAGGAGTGTCAGTCTCCCAAATCTCCTGGATCAATGCGTGCTCCCCAGCTTGCTAACATGAAAAAGCTAGACATGCTCACTTTATGATTGATCTCGTCTAAAATGTTCTGCTGCAACTTATTCTGATAAATGGATGATGAATATAAATAATCAATTAATTCTGTCTTATCGTTTATTTCAATCTGACAACTTCGTTCACAAAACATCACGGGGTGACTAAAATGAAATAGAACAGAGTAAAATAAATAAAGAATTCTCTCTTCTTTTGGTAATTAAATGCACATAAATAGAGGAGTTGGCGTGATTTTTCACTCTCTTGATTGACTGTCGTCGTGAGGCAAACACCAACCTTGAAGAAAAACTAGATGATTTGAAATAAAGAAATTTGTTATAACTAGGCAATGATGATGTAACGAATTGACTATTCTGAGTAACTGAGAATCGCTCGAAAAGCCTAATTGTAATTTTTTTTGTTTTGTTTATTGATTTTAACTTAACACTGAACCTACTAATTCTTCTTGATCTCGCTAGATTTTAAAATATTTACCATGCGCTTATCACATTTTCGGTGTTGTTCATATCGAAAAAGAGCTTTAACTTGTGTATGTGTAGTTGGTATTGAATTGGAATTTTCTGTGCACCACAACTTAAAGGATTTAATCATTTTTGACTTAAATTAGATACTCACCAAAAAAATTGATTGTTTGAATGCCTCAAATCGGTGACTAATATGCGAATTCCGCAACACCATAAAAAAGGGAAAAATGTCTTTTGTGATTTTTTCACTTGAATGTTGAAAAAGATTTCTGCACGTTTTTTACAAGTTTTAACAAATAAGTTATCGTTTTTCTCACTTAACTGAACTCAATTTAACAATTTTAATATATTTTTATTGGATAAAATCTTTGATTGATTTCTAAAAATCATTTCTTTCATTGGTTTTTTCATGATTACTCGAAAAATATTGAGCAAAATTTTCTCTTATTTATGTCATCTATACAAAAAATACAATTATCACTATGAACACGACTTTTCACTTGTTAATTTTAACTGGAATGTTAATATGATGCTTTTCGCGACTAGTTCTTGTTCATTAAACTGTTAAAAATCACTTTTAAGTACACAAATTTAATTAATCAAAATGCTTTTGTTTAATTTTGGCAAAATTTTTCTTCTCTGACTTTTTTTCATTCCCCTTTTAAGGGGGTTCTCATAAATAACGTCCATCAAAAAAACGAGATTTCTAGACACTCGTTGTCAAAAAATTTTGTATAAAGAAAAATTAAATTTGTTTGAACCATCAAATTGAATGATCCCCTATTATTTTAAAAGGAGTAGAAAAATCTTTATTTAATGTTTACATTCGTGAATATTAAACAATTAATTAAACATATAGATTAATAGCGCTAATTATGGCTGCTCCATCGAATATTTCGGCTAATGTGATTGATAGACCATCAATTTTTGAATTAGTAGCAGCGCAATCGTTAGATTCGACGTTTTATCCTGCATTTAAGAAAATTGCTTTAGTAAGACAAAATAAAATTTATGCAAATTCATTAATTTTGTAATATACAGTCGGTGCTTCTTCTTTTTTTTTCTATTTACTTACAGTATATAGGTGCGAGGAATCCTGAAAAATTCGCAGTAATTGTCAAATATTACGATGAATTGTTTCTAATTTTAAATGGTGCTGTACAACAATATTATTTAAGAAAATACTGTAAGTAATATCCAAAAAATATACAGTTTAATTATACTTGTGACCTTCGACCTTTTCATTTTAGGTTCGTCAATATCTGAGACATTTTATGGACTTGGTAGATATAATCTTAAAACATTCCGTTTTGGAAAGAGAGATTTTTTCGTATCTTTTGCATTTCTTGTGATTGTACCGTACTTATTTAGGAAGCTTGAAAGTCACATGAATAGAGTTAAAGAAAAGTTACAAGACGAACTTACTATTGAAGATAAATATAAAGTTCTTGGACTATACAGCTATCGAGTCGCGAAATCAACTTATGAATTCACACAAATTATTAAATATATCACTTATTTAAGTAATCGTTCAAAGACGCACAATTTGCCTCTGTTCCTATCTAGTATTAGCTTAAAGCATGGTAATCCACATCAAGAAACATTCTCGTTTATAGACATAATTAAAGGCAATGTCAGGTTATCGACCGTTTTAGGAACGACTATTTTAAGGACACTCGAATTTGGTGGATTCTTTTTACAATTTTTACAATGGTATCAAGGTAGTTCTGCGTCTCAAAAAATCATTTTGCAACTGCCAACGCCCGATCCACCTACGCTGGATAGAAATGCTACCAAATTTTCAAACATTTGTCCAATATGTTATCAATCGTTCGTCATTCCAACGACTTTGTCAACTTCTGGCTACACATTCTGCTATAAATGCATTACAAAGCATTTAAATAAGAAACCATATTGTCCAGTAACAAATCTACCTGCAATCATTGATGATCTAGTTAGAATTTATGATAACTAGGTGATATTTAAACATAAACTTGGTGCTTGCTATTTTTTATGTGGGATTTTTTTTTTAATATAATAATAAAACGGACTGGTTAATTTAATTAATATAAAAATTTATCGAATCTTTATTCATGCATTTCCTGTTCTTCAGTAACTTTTGAACTATTTAATGACTTGCGTTTCTTACTATTCAGTTCCTCTTGTGTAAAATAATCCACTTTAACTCGTTTGCCACAAGAATATTCATCCTTTGAAGGCTGTGTTTCCATCTTACGTTTTGCAGGAGTTTTATCAAATGAGCCATGTCCAGCAGCTTTTTCTGCTTCTTCATGTGTATACGGATCATTTTCCAGTGCCTTCATTCGTCTTTTATGAACTTTTGTCTTAAAATGATCATCCAGTGCTCTCTGATTTATGTAATATTTTGCACAATGAAGACAATAGTGCTGAGCAAAGCCTGGTTTATCCAAATCTACTTCCTGATTTAGCAATTGGTCAGATCCTTCCTTTAAATCTTTGTCGATCTTAAAATAATTTTAAAGGTTAAAAAAATAAATGTGAATTTCTTGTTTTTATGTTATTTCTTCGACTTACCTGATCCAAATCCTTTGTCTTGTTCCTTAATCGATTCCTTCTTCTGAGTCTCGTATGACCATCATGATGTCTTGCTCTTGCATAAGGCATTTTAATCAATTTTCAATTAATGTTCAACAAACGTTTTTTTTTTTGTTTATTTTTTTTCTTCTGTGCGCTTTCTTTGTGACAATATCTACTGATACATGTCTACTTGTAGACCAAAAATTCAGCAATCACAAATAGAAACTATCGATAAAGTGTTATTAGATTGTTTCAAAAATAAAATTTTGCCATATCTAAATATGTTTAGTTTCTTTAAAAGCCACAATAAGAAGTCGCCAATAGCATCTCCAGTTTCAGAAAGAGCAGATGATACTACACAAAAGAGTAGCGATGATTTTGTCGTCGTCCTGCAACCAAATACCATATATCCCAGTCCATCGCAAATGCCATCAGTTCCTCAGTCATCTCCTCACCCGTTTACTCGTCAGGTATATTAATTAAATAAACTTGTTGGGGTCTAATATACATATGATGCACTTTCTAGTTTTCTATGTCTGTGAACTACACGCAATCAGTTCCTTTCAAACTGAATCCAGTATTGATGTCTGATAGCAGTGATACCGAAATATGGAACTTCAAGCTTAGAGAAATGGTAAGAAACAATCATTTTGACATCTAGCAAACATCCTTTATCCATCTTTAATTACGTCTTTTCAGAATTCAATTTTACAACGAGTTAATCATGGCGATTATGATTTTAAACTTGAGCGATCGATCATGGAATCATAGGTTCTAAAATATTCATGACACTTATGTATGCTATACTAATCCTTTTATGTTTCATATGTTTTTAATAATTTTTTTAAAATTTAATAATAAATCCTAAAATAAAACCAATGTCTGTAATGACTCATCATTGTTTATAAACAAAGAGTGGACTACAAATAAAATAATAAAATTAAGATGTGTGGAATATTTGCCATGCTGTTTGCTGACAGACAGTTTTGCTTTCAATTTGTACGTAATATAATTAAATTCATTGAAGAAACTACTAAAAATTTATTATTTTCAGTATGAAAAGCATATTAAAGAACTACTTGCAAATCGTGGTCCAAATGACTTGAAAACTTTGTACGAAAACTCAATATTTTTCGGAAATTCAGTTTTGTGGCATCAAGGCGAGTCCCTAGTAAGTCTACCAATATACATAAATGGAAGTGACAAGATCCTGCTATTTAATGGCGACCTATTTATGGAAATCGATGGAAGTGACACGTTGTACGTAGGAGAACTACTTAAAAATGCTCAAAATGAAATGGACTTGATTAGAATATTCAAAAATATTGCTGGACCATTTAGCATGATATTTTACTTTGATAAGTCTCTATATTTCATACGTGATTCATTTGGAAGAAACTCATTAATAATCGGAAAAGTAAATGATTCTTTGTTCCTCACGAGTGTCTTAGATCACCAAAATGAGGTGATTGAAGCTATAGAAATTCCACCTTTAGGACTGTACAAAATTAATTTGCAAACCAAGAATGTCGAGCTGTTTCCTTACGAAGGACTTACACATCCTTATCACATTGAGCAGCTGAATTTCATCAATAATATAATTAGTGTTGATTTAAGAGAGCAAGTGATCCAACCTGACTGGCTGCATCTCAAACAGCCATCCACAAGCCTTTCATTCAAGGACATTGATCTTCCAGAGAACAGCGAGAACATTTTTGAGTTTCTCCTTAGCAACGAAGCCTATTCCAAATTAAGTGACGAATTTATAAGCATATTGACAAAGTCAGTAAAATATCGAGTCTTAAAAACTCAATCAGAGTGCAAGAACTGTATAGGAAATAATAATTGTAATCACAGCAACATTTCTGTGCTGTTCTCGGGAGGAGTTGATTGCACATTATTAACAGTATTAGCACATAAATTTATTGATAAGCGTAAACCTATCGATCTGTTAAATGTCGCATTTGAAAGAGTTTCGAATAAAAATGCAAACATTGACTTTAACGTGCCTGACAGGCTTACTGGACTAGAAACCCTCAATGAGCTTCAAAATTTGTATCCCGAAAGGAAGTGGAATTTTATAGAAATTAACATCACAAGAGTTGAACTTTACAAACACAGGAAAAAATTGAGCAGCTTAGTTTATCCTTTATCAAATGTCCTAGATGAGTCTCTTGGAAGTGCAATTTATTTTGCCTCACGCGGTATCGGATTGCTAAATGGGGAAACTTATGAAAGTCCATGTCGCGTGATATTGATTGGATCGGGTGCAGATGAGTTGTTTGCTGGATATACAAGACATAGTAATGCATTTAAAAGAAGCACAGCAGAACAAGATCTTTTGACTAAAGAACTTGAGCTTGATTGGATTCGATTGCCGTCCAGAAATTTAGCCAGAGATGATCGCGTCGTAGCAGACAATGGGGTTACAGTCCGTGCGCCATTTATTGAAGAGAGTTTTGTAAATTTTGCTAGAAGTTTAAAAGCACTGCAAAGATGCTATCCAAAACTTCAGCAAGGAATTGGAGATAAATTATTGCTTCGACTATGCGCCTTTAAAATTGGACTTGAAAATTGCTGTCGATTCCGAAAACGAGCAATGCAATTTGGAAGTCGAATAGCCGATAAAAAACAGTCAGCTAAGGATAAATCGCAATTGCTAAAATAATTTTAATTTTTTCAATAATTATTAACTTTATTATTTCATGATATCCTCATGATTAATAATAATTTATCCATTCATTTTCTTACTTTAATACTACTTGTTTTTTTTTTATCTAAAATTTGCCAAATCCAATTTTTTTTTCTTAAATATTTATCATTTTTTCTTACAAAATGAAACAAATTGCTAGGAAAGAATCTTTATGTAAATTTTTCAAATTTCAAGGCATATATATATATTATGTTTTTTTTTGAAATATTTTTTAAGGTATTAAATAACCAAAAGTGAATCAATAAACGCAAAAAATTACATAATAAAAAGGGAGCAAACGAAGTAATAGATAAATTGTAGAAAGAAATGAGATTTATTTCAGTTGATGTAGTTCATCTTAGTTCCTTCATGTTTTTATAATCTGTGAGTCAAATCGACTAAACTGGAGTCGTGAAAATGATAAAAATTTCAGCAATGTTCACATTAGTTGACATCTTTAAAACCTAAGTTAAAAGAGGAAGGTAACTGAAGAAGAATTTAATAACTTATAGTTTTGATAGAACTGAGACTACTAAGGATCAGGATTTCTGAAACAAATATAAGAACTACTTGACTGAAATAATCTCAAACAAATCACAAGACCAAGAAAATAAATCTTTCTTAATTTCTATCTGAAGAATGGATACTTAATAAAAATATTTTTTTTTTTCGATAATTATGTATTTCTTCATTTTATGTTACTTTAAACGAATCTAGAATCTTTCCATTTTTATGCTTAAATACAACGTTCATGTTTATATTCTATTAGCTACATGTTTAATCATTTTTCATCATTTGTTATATGAATAATTTCGATTATCATATCCATTTGCAGGCATCATTTTTTTTATTTATTTATTATTTGATTTCATCTTAATCCATTACATATTCTAAGTTAGTAGATGCATGCCGTCTTAAATAATTTATTTGGTACAAAAATCTATTAATATTTTAATTAATTTTTTCTCTTTTCTACTGTGTTAGTAAACAGAAAGTTCAAGTCCAGTTCTTTTATGATGTCTTAAATTGTTTTTTAAAACATCATTTTGAGTTTTTTTTTATTTTATATTGTTAATATTTTTTGGAGATGAAGTTTGCAAGACTAATTTCATCAAAGTAATCTGAGTTTTATGTTAATCCTGAGCAATAAGTTATTTGAAAGCTTTCTTAGACATTACGTCCAATCGACTCGATTTCTAATTATATTTGGTTTTAGTCTATAAGGTCAATAACAAGATCGTTAACAGTACCGAATATACAAAGAGCATGCTCAGAAAAGTGAGCATATAAGTGAGTCTACTCAAAAATTATACTCATGCAAGCTCATTCAACTGAGCATGCTCAGGAGTTCATTACGAATGTACTCACTTTATTTTTTTGCAAAAAATTTATAAGCTCACGTGAGTACATTCAACGAGTGTACTCATGAGAATATTAAGAACATACTTATGTGAATCAATGTGAATATACTCGTATGAGTGCACTTACTGAACATTCTCATAAGAATATTAAGAGCATACTCACTTCTGTGTGACATAATTTTTTTTCCGTTCTCATATGAGTGCACTTACTGAACATGCTTATGGGAATATTAAGAACATACTCATGGGTATTTACTCCTATGAATACACTTCTTAAACATACTCATGAGCATATAATGAACATAATGATATCTATATGACATTTTAAAAAATGTCGACAAACTTAAAATCGAACTTAGAATACATTTTTATGTAAGTCGACATTTTCAAAAATGTCGACCAACTTAAAATAGAACAAAGAATACATTTTTATGTTAGTCGACATTTTAAAAACTGGTCAACCAACTTTAAATCTAACTTAGAATATATTTTAATGATAGTCGACATTTTTTTGATATGTTATTTTTAAAAAATTGTCAACCAACTTAAAAGCAAATGTTGAATATTTTAGATATGTAATACAAAATGTACGAAAAGTTTTACAATTCTAAGTTTTCTGAAATAAATGTCGAGAGTTTCTCAAGGAATTAAATTAAAAATTACTTTGCTTTTAAAAAACTATAAGAATTAAGCACGATCAAAATCTTTTGGCTTTCATGGAACTAATATTTGAATTCATAAAATATTTTCAAAAAATGTCGACCTGCATAAAAACGTATTCTAAGTTTAATTTTAAGTTGGTCGACATTTTTTGAAAAATGTCGACATGCATAAAAATGCGTTCTTTGTTCGATTTTAAGCTGGTCGACATTTTTAATATTATGTTCTCACGATCGTGCTCTGATCAACTCAAATATTTCATAAAAATATAGTTCAATTAAGCAGCGTATCAAACTTCAAAGAACTTAGTTTGCCTGTAATAATATAATAATTTTAGTATGTGTTTTGCCATATACTGGGGGTCCTCGATTTGAGTAGTTGTTTTGTTCCAAAAAATTTCTACTCAAATCGAATCTATTCAAATCGAGGCAAAGAATCAATACAAAATTACATGTTTTGTTCCAGAGTCCAAAAAATATGTCAAAACAATGAAATTTTTGATCATTTTTTGCACATTTTACCTCGTTGCTTAACTTTTCCTATGTGTTTTAGATAACTTAATTTATTTCAAGGCATATTCATATTGTTTTTACACAGAAATTCACAAAAAATATGTTTTTGAAACAAAACAAAAATATGAGAACCTTGCAAATGTTAATTCACTGAACAATTTGTAAGGTTTTTGAATTTGAACTTTTAATTTTATAGCGATTTTTTAAATTTTTACTTTAATTTTGTAACTTTAGTATTGATTTTTCTATCAATATGATAAGTTCCCGCTTATTGCAGTAAAATTTATGTTTTAAAAATATTTTCTGAAATGTTTTTATCAAAAATATTTGTTTTGTAAACAGTTCAAATCGAAGAAAACAGGAAGAAATCTACTCAAATCGAATATTTTGGTGGGTAAAAATTTTTCTGTTCAAATCGAATCTACTCAAATAGAATCTACTCAAATCGAGGACCCCCAGTAAAAATTATTATATATTTACAGAAAATTGCTCCAAGGAAAAGTGTGAGGTGACAGAAGTTAAGCAACGCAATAGGTTTTTCTACAAGGATGGGTGACCGGTTTTTACCCACAGAATTATCCTTATAAAACTCAAATTTAACTTAATTAATTTTTTGAATTTTGTGACTTTAACTGATTCCACTCATGCATGTGCTCAGATGAGCATATACTCATAAATAAACTTGCTGAGCATATATCTTTTGAGTATCTTCATGAATATAAGCTCTTTGAGTATGTTTATGAGTATATGCTCTTTGAGAATGTTCATAAGTATATTCAATAAAAAATGTTGCATTAGAAAAATGTTTCGTGTGGTATGTTGTCTTCTCATTTGAGTATGCTTATGAGTTTACTCAGTGAGCTTAATGCATGTCACATAGGAATGTGTTCACTGAGCATACTCAAAAAGGTACCGTGATCGCATCACTTTAATGTATGAAATGAGCACGTTCTCACAAAAGTTTGCAAGCTCACAAATAATGTGCTCTGAGTATACTCATTGTATGTTCGGTAGTATTCATCCGGTTGGTGTTTTGTTTTAAGATTTGAATTCGACTATTACATTATAAAAAGTAAGGTTATTGCTCAATTTGAGTCAACAAATATACAAACCTTATAGGCAAAAAAGTAATCATATTCACACAAAATTTTCAATTTTTGTGAATATATTGTTTTTGGTTTTCCGGAAAATCAGTGTTTTTAACTTTCTGCTTCAGGCTTACGGAATCAACCCAAATACCTGATATGTTAAAGTTTGTGCCTCGAAATACCTATCTTATGGTGAAAACAACTTTTCATTTGGCAGTTCCAGTTCCGAGAAATCGAAAAAAAAAGGCATTCTGTTAGTTAATCGGTGCGTTAACTCGATTCAAACTCAATATTAAGACTTCCGGTTTTTTGCTTCTGATAGATAATGTCTATCGCAAGAACTGTATTGTTTTTGGATTCATAAGATGCTTCTAGTGAGGCACAAGATGCATAAACATTTTTGTATGGGAAAAGTTTAACCGATTATTACATAACATATTTATTTTTTGTTTACAACGGAAATATTTGTTGGTAGTAGTTTGATATTAATAAAATGGTTGTGACAGTATGCACAAAGTTAAATGTATCTGAAAAAATGTTGGAACTAGCGAGTTCCTTCACAAGATTCAGCTTACTGGATCTATGTTATTGAATACATACTTTACTTGTATCATAATGGAAATATGTTTTTGGTTCCAGCATTGATTTTTTTCTTGCTGTATACTTACTGGATCTTGGTTCCAACGATAGCACAATTTCAATTTCAATTTTAGTGGACTGGATTTAATTTTTAATGACAAATTAAATAATTTAACCAATTTTTCACAATGATCTCTCAATTTCAACAAATTGTCAAAGTTCACTAAAAACTTTTTCTTATTTCTTAATTATAAAAAAAATTTAAATTGATATTGTCAAAGCCCACTTAGAACTTTTTCTCAAATTTTACTGGATTCAGACATGATTTAAACTTTACTAAATCTTGGTTCCAAGTTTTAGACATGCTTAAAACTTTACTGAATTATAATAATTTGTTGCAGACATGATTAAAACATTACTGGATCTTGGTTTTAAGCTTCAGACATGATTAAAACTTTACTGGATCTAGGTTTATTGTTTCAGACATGATTAAACCTTTACTGGATCTTGTTTTCAAGCTTCAGACATGATTAAAACTTAACTGGATCTTGGTTTATTGCTTCAGACATGACCAAACCTTTACTGGATCTTGTTTTTAAACCTCAGACATGATTAAAACTTAACTGGATCTAGGTTTATTGTTTCAGACTTGATCAAACCTTTACTCGATCTTGATTTTAAACCTCAGACATGATTAAAACTTAACTGGATCTAGGTTTATTGTTTCAGACTTGATTAAAACTTTACTGGATCTTGGTTCCAAGTTTCAGACATGCTTGTTTTCAAGTTTCAAACATGGTTAAAACTTAACTGGATCTAGGTTTATTGTTTCAGACATGATTAAAACTTTACTGGATCTTGTTTTTAAACCTCAGACATGATTAAAACTTAACTGGATCTAGGTTTTAAGTTTCAGACAGGATTAAAACTTTACTGGATCTTGGTAATTTGGTGCAGACATGATTGAAACTTTACTGGATCTTGGTTTTAAGTTTCAGACATGATTAAAACTTTACTGGATCTTTGTAATTTGTTGCAGACATGATTAAAACTTTACTTGATCTCGGTTTTAAGTTTCAGACATTCTTAAAACTTTACTGGACCTTAGTAATTTGGTGCAGACATGATTGAAACTTTACTGGATCTTGGTTTTAAGTTTCAGACATGATTGAAACTTTACTGGATCTTGGTTCCAAGTTTCAGATATGCTTAAAACTTTACTGGGTCATTGTAATTTGTTTCAGCCATGATTAAAACTTTACTGGATCTTGGCTCCAAGTTTCAAAAATAATCAAAATGATAATTTGTTGCAGACATGATTAAAACTTAACTGGATCTTGGTTTATTGCTTCAGACATGATCAAACCTTTACTGGATCTTGTTTTCAAGTTTCAAGCATGGTTAAAACTTAACTGGATCTAGGTTTATTGTTTCAGACATGATTAAACCTTTGCTGGATCTTGTTTTTAAACCTCAGACACGACTAAAACTTAACTGGATCTAGGTTTTAAGTTTCAGACATGATTAAAACTTTACTGGATCTTGGTAATTTGGTACAGACATTATTGAAACTTTACTGGATCTTGGTTTTAAGTTTCAAACATGATTGAAACTTTAAAAGATCTTGGTTCCAAGTTTCAGATATGCTTAAAACTTTAATGGATTATTGTAATTTGTGGCAGTCATGATTAAAACTTAACTGGATCTAAGTTTTAAGTTTCAGACATGATTAAAACTTTACTGGATCTTGGTTCCAAGTTTCAGACATGCTTAAAACTTTACTGAGTCATAATAATTTGTTGCAGACATGATTAAAACATTACTGGATCTTGGTTTTAAGCTTCAGACATTCTTAAAACTTTACTGGATCTTGGTTCCATGTTTCAGACATGCTTAAAACTTTACTGAGTCATAATAATTTGTTGCAGACATGATTAAAACTTTACTGGATCTTGGTTTTAAGCTTCAGACATTCTTAAAACTTTACTGGATCTTGATTCCAAATTTCAGACATGATTAAAACTTTACTGGATCTTGGTTTTAAGTTTCAGACATGATTAAAACTTTACTTGATCTCAGTTTTAAGTTTCAGACATTCTTAAAACTTTACTGGACCTTGGTAATTTGGTGCAGACATGATTGAAACTTTACTGGATCTTGGTTTTAAGTTTTAGACATGATTGAAACTTTACTGGATCTTGGTTCCAAGTTTCAGATATGCTTAAAACTTTACTGGATCATTGTAATTTGTTGCAGACATGATTAAAACTTTACTGAATCTTGGTTTTAAGTTTCAGCCATGATTAAAACTTTACTGGATCTTGGCTCCAAGTTTCAGACATAATTAAAATTTTACAGACTCTTGGTTTTGAGTTCTAGTCATGGTTAATTTTGGATTCTTGGTCGATACATTTAAAAATCCAGTACGATCTGCAACCTATAAACCTACTGTAATCTATTAACAGTTGAACGAAACGGAGTGGAGTTCAACATACCTGTAACCTGTAACTGGAGCGAAGCGGAAGTTGCAAAATTATCCAAGACTGTAAGCTATATTGAAATCGGATCTACATAAAAAACTATCTGAGAGCATTAATTTGAGTGATTTTTCAATTTCATAATCTATCGTTTACCAAGTGTAAAAGTTAATGGCTTTCTACAAAAGTCGTATTTTTCATATTTATAATTTTAAAAATTGTTATTTTTTGCGACACTAGAATCATGATTTTCGTTGTTAAACGTGTTTTTATTGAGTGGTATACTTTGTTGATAATACAGCAAAATGTTGATATTAAGTCTTATATTTTATTGAGAGAAGATTTTCCAAGATTTTCTGAACAATACATAGAGAGTTCAATAGGATTGTGTGAATATTTCCATGAAGCGTGATCGGCTTCATTACTAGTTTTATATTAAAATTCAATTAAAAAATTGACGTTTAAAATTAGAAATGGGTCAAATTATGATAAGATTGAAAAATCTGGATCATCACTAATAACCTTAGCATTTTGCACGTGCAATCGCAACAGCTCATTCAGTATAATCCCAAAAAGACACTAAGATGAGTTTAGTCCCGCATTTTGAGGAAAGAAAAATAAATTAATATACTTAACTAAAAGAAAAAACAAACAAGAGTTAAAAATAGAACAAATTCTATTGATTAGTCTATTTTCGTTTTGCTTAGTAAAAATCTTTTTTTTTACCATTAAAAAAACGAAAATCAATTCCTAGTTTTGGTTTTAAATTCACGATTGCAAAGAAGATTTAACAATATTTAAAATGAAAAATCAAGTAGATAAAAAGTCAATCAATATATGATATAAAAGAGCCTACAAAAAACATCATTCACATCTTTTATATCGCTGTTCCATTGTCATTACTACTACATATAGTATAATTATTATTTCTCTTTTTTATGATAAGGCAAACATTATCTATATCTTTTTGCTCTAATTTTAACATCATATTCTTTCCATCATACTTGATAAAAACAAATTTCTTCATCATTTTTTTTTGATACAAAAGAAATGTATTATTAATAAATTGACATTTCTTCTTATCATTATCGTTTCTTACACAATGAACAAAAAAAAATTTTTATTTTCATTTCACTTAACATAACTTTGCACGAAAATCGCAAATACATACTGATGTGCATTTTGAATGATGAATTTATTATTGAATCAACATTATTTGATTAATAAATAGATTCATTTGATAAACTAATCTTATTAAATTTATTTATTTTTAAGGTATGTTTGCGACTTCACGTACAATACAATTTAAAATTTAAATGAAATATGCATGAAAAATTAATCAGATCTTTTGTGGTATGTAAACATTTTTGGGAAGATTCTGCTAAAACCTGTTTGAACTAGCTAGTTATTTTATAGGATATCTAAGATTTTAATTTGATTAACGTTTTCAATATCTTGTTAATCCGTATAAAATTGAATCATCAAATTCCACGAGAAAAAAATAGCTCAACAATTGCTAGCAAAACCACTTCCAAAAGTTTCAATTAATTAACTTGTCGATAAAATGAAATAAAATGTGCCAAAAGTTTCGATATATTGCCGATCATTGGATATTGATATGAACAATTTTGGTTCATGATATAATCGACAAAGAAAAATCATATGCATCGAGGTAAATATCAGATATGGAGGAGGTGAATTGAATATTATTTGATTTTCATGATATCATATTTGTCACTCTCTCAATTGTTGGTGATATTTTTTTGTTTTGCTTTCACTAAAGATATAAAGGGACATTTTTTGTAGTTTCCGTAATTTTTCAATCAATTATTGCTCAATGTCAAAAAAAAAGCTCTTAGAGATTTTTTTCAAATTAGTTTTTTTTTACATTTTGCAAAATTTATAATAAAGATTATAATATTTTCTTTTCTTTGACACCAACTGACTTTTAACACAGAATAGGAAAACTCAATTTTGTCTTGCTCACTTGTTACAGTACCTTCCCATTTCCCATGAAAATTAGTTTAATTGAGTCTTCTTATTTTATTTCTTATGGCCCGATACTGTAACTTATTTTCTTACGTTATTTTTTTTTTAATTTTTAAAAAATTCATAGAGAAAAAAACAATAAATTTAAATATACTAATAATCAATAAAGTATTAAATGTGTGTTTTGTGGTCTCTTTGGTTTTATATAAGACAATCTTCATATCTCATCTATCATTTCTTAGGCTCTTGTTTTGTAAAAAGCTCACAATTAGCATGCAATATCTCTCTGTGTGTCTTTGGTGAATTAATGATCATTAATACATTAAAAAATCAGTCAATATCGATCATAATGCTGCATGCTTTCATGAGAACTAAATACAAAATCTTGTTTTTCCTTCTTCATCTTTCTGTTCGTTCTATTCTGAAGACGCACATTTTTTTCTTCTTCTCGTAATTCATCGTCATTTGTTTTTAGTTTAGTTACTTCTTTATCATATTTTTGGACGTTATAATATCTTTCCTCCAAAAATGCTTTTTATTTTAGATTTATTTTCATCAGTCAATTTTAGAAAGTTTTGTGTGAAAAGGAAAAATACATTTATTATTATTATTGCTTGCATTGTTGATCATCAAATTTCATCAATGTTATATGTGTAAGGTAATATTTCTTTCATGTTTTTTAACCAATTTTTTTTTTTCAATAGAGATAAACATATTAAATAATAAAAAAGAAAAAATAGCAAAAAAATAATATATTTGATGGCCATGTGACTCATTGAAACAGAAAAATCTTTCTGTCAAGGAAGCTTTCTCATGGTTTTGAATAAAAAATTAGTTGTTGATAAATTGGGGGAAAATTTTCTTCACTTTCTCATATTTTTTTTTTAATTATTAAGACAAACAAAAAAAAAAGTTATTCGGTGGTTGTTGAGTAATAATAAATTTTCTTCGGTTAAACATTAATTTTCATTTGTATGAGACCACACATAATAGAAAATAAATATTGTTATTCTTTGTTGATAGAGAAAAAAATGAAAATAAAAAAATGTTTGTATTAGAAATGACTTGTGGCAGCTCATTCAAAAATCATCAGCATCGACATCACCGTCACTGATATAAATAAGATCCTGCTTTGGATCATTCATTTTACCTAAAGGGCGTTTAGGACGTCGTTTTGATGGAGGTCCTTTGTAACGTTTTGATAAATGTGAAATATCACGAAGTTTCTGTTTCTTATTTGCAGGCGGAGGTGATTCTTCGAGTTCCAACGGATCGGCAACATCGTCTTCTTCTTCATCTGGTTCCAAATCTGTCTCAATTAATTCTGTTACAACTTCCTCCTCGACAATGTTCACCACTCGAGGCTTCTTAAATTCATAAACTAGCGGGTAAATGTGCTCGATTGCTGCTTGCACATCAGCAACACTTCTTGCTAGAATGATACGAATTTTCACATGTGAGAATTTTTATTCAAATCAATCAAGTTGATGTGCGAAGTAAAAAAGTAACCAGCAAAAATATTTGCTTGATACCCGTGACGCATTGAATATTTCAGTTGGTTTATCTTGTATTAGGGGGGCCCGACTAAAAAAAATTATTCGTGAGTGACGCTATGGTTTGTCGATTTTCTCCGAATCATTAATAGTGACAATTGTGAAACTTATTTTGTAAAATAGGAAAAAAAATCCTGATCTTTTGATATACAACTCTCTTTATAAAGTTGAACAGTTGCTTCAGAATAGAGCTTTAACTAAGCGTCACTCACGAATAATTTTTAGGAATTTTGCCATAACATTGTCAGTTTTCATTGATGTATCTTCAAATGTATTTTTCAGAGATCGAAGCCGATTTTTTCGGCTTAACTCAATTTTTGATTTTTTTGATAGAAAAAAGCCATTTGACAACCATTTCAAGTATTTAAATTGAACTTTACATGCTTTACTATGATTCTGTGTAATATTTTGTCAGCATGTAGCTATAATAAGCTCAGAATTTCAATTTAGTCGATGATAAGCCGATCGGCTTAAATTTCGGCTTAAAATCGTTTAACTTGAAATTCTGAGCTTACTATAGCTACATGCTGACAAAATATTACACAAAATCATAGTAAAGCATGTAAAGTCCAATATAAATACTTGAAATGTGTGTTAAATAGCTTTTTTCTATCAAAAAAATCAAAAGTTGAGTTAAGCCGAAAAAATCGGCTTCGATCTCTGGTATTTTTTAGATCAGAAATTTAATTCTCTTTGGATTTTTTCTGTCGTGAAATTTATAAATTTTCTGGAATTATAAACCTCACGTGCAGTTCATAAGTCCAGGTACAAATACAGCTGGTATTATAAACTGCACGAGAGGTTTATAATTCCAGGTACATTTTATATCTGGACTTATAAACCTCACGTGTGGTTTATAATTCCAGAAAATTTATAAATTTTACTTATAAACTTCTAGTGCGATTATAAGTCCAGATACATTTTTCTGGACTTGCAATCCTTGAAAAGTAATTATGCATTTGACAATAGGCGATTCCAGTAGGGTAAATTGCAAATATTTTGACTTCAAATGAATTTTTTGTCGAAATTTTTCACTAAACCTTACAATCTTTTCAGTTTATCTAATGTAATTTTTTATTTCCTATCTATTTAGTTGTTTGTCCAAGCACGAATTGTCCTAATTATTAAGATATTTCAATTCTTTGGCCCGTTTCTTTATGACCAAAAATAAAATTTTGTAAAAGTTTCAACAGGGTTATCAAAAATTTCATAACAAATCCTCATCTTTGCAGCATTAAATGTGCACTTAACGATAGATTAAGATCTGTTTAGAAATTTAAATGCTCCAAACTCCAGTAATAAAGCTTAATTATCGAGATAAATTGATTCTCCGAACGTCAATTTTTTGTCAAAAAGCAACGCAAGGAAAATAAAAGCCGAAGTTTTTCGGAGACGTAAATTTACATCAGAAAAATTGATTTATCTTCTAAAACTTCCTTAAAATTCAATTTAAACAATTATTTGGAAGATAAAACGTTTAATTTATTATAATTTAGTATGCGTATGATGATACATACAAAAAGTTTCTTAGACATTCAATGATTTTAATGAAATACAACAGCTAAAAGGATATATAAGGTACTTTAGAGAAAAAAAAAAATCAGAAAAGTTCATTTGTAGAATTGCTTTAAAGGAAAAAATTGAAATAGTTTCAAAAATAATTTTCAAGGATTATAAGTCCAGAAAAATGTATCTGGACTATAATTTTCTGTGCACGATTTTTGTATCTGGACTTATAACCCAGCATCAAAATATCACTCAATAATTAAAGCTCTTAAAATAGGCAGAATAGCTTATGCATCATCTACTTTTCGTTATCATAATATTTAGGAATAATGATTGAATAATTAAGATATTTGAGAATTTAATTTTTGATGTTTTGTAAGATAGTGTTAGTGAATTTCAAATTTAATTTTTCCGTTGAGCAATAATCCTAAAAAAATCGTCGAGGCCCAGCGTATTCCAAAACCATTTATCAAAATTTAAGTTTTAACTTCTTTTCACAATTTATTTAAACGTTATTTTTTGAAATTAATACTGGTTAATTGGTTCATACTCTGCAGAGTAAAAACAAAATGTAAGCATATGAGTTTGCATTTAATGATAACAGTACGATTCGATGTAAGAAATTTATCGAAGCAATTACCACTAACCTGTTACTGTCATGCTTCCAGTTGAAAAGATTTTGAGTGTGGCAGTGGGATTTTTAAGATTATATGTAACTCCAGGATGCAACTCGGGCTCGTAGCTTGCTTCCTTCTTGTACTTCTCCGAGAATTGAACAATTTTTATGGCCCAAGGCATTTTACATGTGCCCAAAACATTGACGACACGATAGTTATGAAATCGAACACGAAAATTAAGTTTTTGTAGCATTCGAGCAGTGCGACGAGCAGCAATTCTAGCTTGATCTTCCGATGTTGCTCCTGTGCATGTAACTTTACCTGTGAATAATAAATTAAGACGAGAATTAAGCAAAGTTAATTGTTTAAGTAAGTCGTTTTGTTCGACATTAGTACCTGATGACCAAATTGAGGCAGTTGTGTATGGTCTGCGTAGTTTCATTGTCACCATACCATTCTCACGTTTGTATTCAACATTTGAACCATGCAATGCTATTTCCTTAAGTGCTAAATGGCAACGAACACTGAACGCACACACGACATTGCTGATAACAATATCAATTTCTGGTTCATCTGTATCTTGTTCGTGTGCTGTTTCCACACATTCTGTGTCATCTTCTGGCTCATCCTTTGCTACTGGTAATTGTTGTTCTTGCTTCTCGGATTCGCTCTTTATTGTTATTGGTTGTTGCTGTTGCTGCTGCTGTTGCTTTATATCGTTTGTTTTCTTTCCTATCTCATTTGTGTTACTTGCTGCATAAAATATAGTTTGTTGTTGTTGTGTTGTTGGTTGATGATAAGGGATTAATGGTGGAGGCATCGTTGAGGAAATTGCAGTGACTGTTGTTATTGAATGATTATTACTTAACGTAATTGGATGTTGATGAACTAAATTACTAAATGACGATGTTGCTGTGTTTGCTATTGTGCTGATACCATTCAAATTATGAGCATAATTTGGGAAGGCGCTTGTATGATATCCATTATATCCAGTTCCAATATTTGTGTTGGTCGCAGCTGTCGAATGATATCCATGATATCCATGATGGATGTTGGGAATGGAATGTTGACCAACAAGAGTGGCAGTGCTAACATTATTTGACGCGCCGTGCTCATGAGGCATTAACATTTTTGTCGTAACACTTGTATTAAATGATGAATCTGCCATCATATTTCCACCACTAATCGATTCAAATGATCCGTCCAAGTCGTCACTTTCTAAAGAGCTTTCTAGAATATGATTGGTGCTTAAACTTTCCTCATCAGATTTTTGTTGTTTCATTAAGAAGATTCACAGAAAATTTAAGAAAATATATTTTTTTGCTTTATTTTTATATTTGTTGTATTAACGATTCTATTCCCTTTTTTGATTCCTAAAAAATATTGTCTCTTATCATGAAATTAAATACTTAATTTCATAAACATTCAGCATTTAAAAAAATATTGTTCCGTATTTTTTTTTTTCTTTTTTGGAAATAATTTAAAGTTTAAAGAAAGTAAAGAATCACTTTTCCTCGTAGTGAAAAATTAATAAACTTTTTCATCACAACAAGAGCAAACGAAAGTGTTTCTCTCGCCTTTATGAATAAATTTTCTTCAATAGCTAGGTGCTCACAATTTTTGCTTCGTTGTTTTCTCAAATTAAATCTAAAATGAAACGAGAAAGAAAGACAGTCAAACAATAATTGGGGAAAAAAATTTAAAAGTAAAATTATTCTGTGAGAGAGGAAAGAAGAAATAGAAACATCCGTTCTATACGACAAGGATAGGAGTCCAACAATAAATATTAAACTATTTTGGATGCACAAATAAACAGATATATGAGTGTATATGTGAGAGAGAATCCATATATGAATCGCTTTAAATATGTTTTGTTTTAATTTCCGCTGATTATTTTATTAACGCACATGCAATTTTAAGCATAAGTTTACAAGGAAAATATAACCTGCATGTTCATTTTTAGTGGCTGACTGGACAGATGTCTTGTACGATGATTCAGACTGATTAAATTTTTATTATACTTTTTTAACTTTTAATAAATCAATTTGATTAAAATTCCAAAATGTCTGAAGTCTAAACTTTCCTTAAAAATTCACGTCAAACGTTATCCCCAAAAAAATCAGCAATGCGTTCCAATGACACTTTTCTGCGAATTTATATCTTTTTCCTTCAAAAAAAAAAAAATCGTTCAGTGAGTTTGCCAATCTGAAAATATTTTGTCTCAGTATAATGACTCATCTTTCATTTTATTTCATTCGATTTTTACGTAGTTTTTTTTACATTACTCAGTTCCTCTTCTTCTTTCGTTTTGAGTCCTACGTTTTTAATACGCTTATTATAACAAAATTAATATTTTGTAATCATTAAGCTCAAAATATTCAACCATGTACTTGTCCTTTCATTTACATCATTTAAACTGCTACCCAAGGCGTGGAAACTATCCCAAATATCATAAGCATGTATGCAAGATAATAAAGATATCCCAAAGTATCCTTAGTGTATTGGACGTGTAATTTCAGGATATGATGGATTATCTCAATTCTAATGCTTACAGGCTCAGGGATTATTTTGAACATTTTTGGGATATATGGGATAGTTTTTACGCCTTGCTGCTACCCGATAGCTTTTTCACTTTTAACGTTCTAACAAAGATATGATCACAGGTTTAATTAAATGAAGGATAGAAAAAGAAAAAATGATGAGTAAAGTCACGAAAAAGCGATATAGGGAAATAAAACAAAATAGTTTAATGCAGAAGAGTTGATTTTCACTTAATTTACATTAATCTATACCGCAAGCACACATGAGCTTGACATTAAAATGTTTAAAATATACAACCAAGTTAGAATTAACAAAAATAAATTTTAAACATGAATTGAAGAGAAATTTATTAGAATTTTACGAGGGTTTAACTTTTAACCAAAATTCGAAGTCATGAAGCTAAAACGAAAATGATTTTTAATTTTAATTAAATTTTATCGGATTTTAAAACATACTGAAATATAAGTTGAAAGTAATTTCCAAAAAAAAAAATCATCACCACCATTAGTATCATGTGTGCGAAAATGTTTTTAAGCTTAATGGTTTGCTGATGAATAAACATAAGATATAATCGATATAATTAAATAACCTGATCTTAGGAATAATTTTCAAGCATTTCAATGCACCATTTTCAATCAGTAAGCAGTAGAGGTTCATTTGTATTCATTTTGAGCCTACCACAACATGAAGCTAATTATGGGAACAATTGACTATTTCCTTTGTCATCGTTACCGCGATTAATATTATTTTTTTTTGTTTCAACAAAATTATCAATTAGAAAATTGAGACAGATATATTGCATAAATGTGTTTGCAATTAAAAGTACAGATCGTTGTCGTTGGATATAATTAACATGATGCTAATGAGCAAATATATGTCATTTTATGTTATCACATTCATATTTTCTCCACACACGAAATGATTGTAATTCGACTTAACCTTCGACCCATTCACTGTAAAATATCCAATTATTAGAGAATGAAAAGAAAAAAAAAAAATCAAACCAGTATGTATCATATACTTGTTATATATTATTCGATAGAGTATAATAGAAGATTTGTTAAGAAAACGCTTATGCTTGTGAAATTGAACAAGCAATTACGTTTCATCTCCAAAAAAAGACATCACCCTACGTTCTGTGCTGCTATCAATCATTATTTTCTCTGTAATTTGTATTCAAAACCAATTTAATAATATTGTGGCATCCTCAAATGTTTATCACGACAGTTACACTACTTCTCATGAATATGAGCATGTAATTAAGAGAACTTTGATAAAACAGTGTACTTTTTATAGATTATTGAAATGAAGGAAAAATGAGATTGCAATTTTAAAGTCGGTATGTAGCACCGAAAACACAAATTAAACTAGAAATGTTAATTTAATTAAAAAGAATATTCTCCTCATACACACTCACGAAATGCGACACGAATATATACATAATTTACATATGACGAAAAGAAGAGATGATGATTATATGGAAATGAACAAAAAAAAAAACGGAAAGAAGAAATATTAGTTCTTCTTCTTTGAAATCATTCAATAAAATTTCTTTTGTTACAATTTCTTTAGTGACGAAAATTCATGATTCTTAAGTTATACTTAAGGAGGTAAATTGTGCGGGGATCAATCGAAAATAAGATGCAGTCCGTGTGCACTGGCTGACCATCCAACATGAACTCAAAAAAAAAACCCGAATTCTCTCGCACTCAGCACATTTAATAATGAACAAATTTTTTTCTTTTCACTAGTTTTTTTTTTATTTTATCATATAGCGGATGTAGGGAATGAAAGAATCAAAAAAAGAAGGGTTGTCGAATAATGAACATGATTTTCGCATAGATCGGATCCACATAAAATAGCAGTAATATTATTAGATGCATAGAAAACGAAAGGATTTACCATGAAGAGATATTGAAATTTTTAAATGAAATGTGAATGATAATTTTTTTTATACCTATTCTCCTTCTCTCTCTCTTTTCAAGGGTTCAATGATTTTTTTTTCTTAAAATTTCATGAGCAAATATGGATTTTTCCCCGCTGTATTTGCTCAGACACATTTGTTATACACCAAACATACCTTTAAAGTTTTCCTTATCAATTGAAATATCCTATAATTGAATCTTTCACAGATTATTCTTTTGCTCGAAAAAATCTTCAGCGAGGTTCACTTTTATCAATTTTTTAGTCTTATTTTCCTATCAATTGCACTACATTCACTCTTTATATGATAATTATGCTTTAATCTTAAAACTAATATCGTTCTTATGTATTTATTATGCTTCAAAACTCGATATTTTCTATTATTCTCCAATTTTTATATTTAAAATGGACAAATTTTTTTTTATTACCGACAGAGGTCTCTCGTGCACTACTCTTTAGCGCATTTTCCTTGCATGAAGACTCTTATGTCTGCGGTTTGTCTGTCTATCCATCATGATAGAAACAAATTTGTTATATAGAAATAAAAACCATTTGATATAGTCACTTCCTTCAATGGCATGCGCAATAAAAACTAGTGTATCGGGTAGAAAACCAATGCGGATATATTCACACTGTATTATCAAAAGTCTTATGAATAGACCAAGATTTGCTCAGCATGAGTTTGAAGGTATAAAGCAGTATAAAGCTAGCGAGTCAGCTGAGCTTCATTCAGCATAAGTTTGAAGGTATAAAGCTAGCGAGCAGTGTTGCAAATGTAGATGTCTACACTAGATGAAGAATGTAGATTCTTCAATAGTTTTTGTCTAGCTAAGAAACTTTCTTCATAAAGATCGATTCTATATGAGGATAGAAAATCTAATCTACACAAAGATTATTTCTACATAAAGATTATGTCTACATAAAGATTCTGTCTACATAAAGATTCGATGTAGATGTCTACAATTCTACATTTTTTCCAGGTCTACATCAGAGAAGAATGTAGAATTGTAGACATCTACATCGAATCTTTATGTAGACAGAATCTTTATGTAGAAATAATCTTTGTGTAGATTAGATTTTCTATCTTAATGCCCTGCTTCATGTAGAATCGATCTTTATGAAGAAATTTCTGTCTCAGGATTTATCTGATCCAGACAAATAGCCAGAATGCAACACTGCTAGCGAGTAAGCTGAGCTTCACTCAGCATACGTTTGAAGGTATAAAGCTTAACGAACATTCTTTAAAAGTCTTTAAAAAAAATTTTCATCCAAAGTTGAATTTTATAAAAATCACAGTAAACTTTTTTTTTGAAAAATTCGTAACAAAGGAAAGTTTTTTGCTTTTTCTGAAGCATCGGCTGTTCCTACCTTGCTTAAAAACAATACAGTTCTTCTATAGAGCAGCACGGATCAAATGTAAAAAACTAAAAGTCTCTACAATGTCTCGTTATTGAGATTTCTTGTTGATTAACTTGCTTACAGAAAGCGTTTTTTGCGATTTTCTCAGCAATGCCTCAACCAATTTGAAATCTGTTTTTTGCAGAAGATGTGAAATTTCAGGTACAAACTTTTCATATTAGAACATGTTAAGCTATCTTGTTGCATTTCCTCGCAAAATGCGAAAAACTGATTTTTCAATCTGAACAAAACCAATAGATTCACACATGAAAACGGTGGTGAATATGAAAACCTTGTTTGTTACTTTCCAAATAAGTTGAAAGAATTTTATACGAAACTGAGTTTTTTAAAATGGGTTGATTCAGGGGGTTCCAAAGAGTAGGGCGAATTAAATTAAATCAGTAATCATTTCGATCTCTG